CTGCTGGATATGGGCACCAGTGACCCACACAACCCTGAAAAGGAAGAAGCGTGTACAGAAAATGGATGGATGGATGTTCTCTCTCATATCTTTGTTTTAGATCATCTTGAACCTTGAAAGGTTGTCCTCAATTTCAGTTTATCTCAAACTGTAGAAAAGATGAAAATCTTAACATCAACATTAATCTGTGATGTTCAGCCCATTTTATTGGATAAATATGKGCTTCAGGAGACGTTCAAGGTGAACATTCTCCTTCTTTAAACAGCACTTTGTTTGGTACTTTACGTCTCCTTGCCTTCTTGTATTCATTCACTGAACTGAACAGCTCCTGCTTGTCCACTTTTTAGCACTTTTCCAAATTATGAAAACAGGTTTGAGTCGGGCTCAGATCTGAAGGTAAAAGGTCCAGTCATAAAAAAATGGAAGATAGCTAACCATTACAGATTCTGTCCCATGACTCTATGGCTGTGTCCCAATTCAGGGGTTGCAGCCCACGTAAACCACAGCCCACGGAGGCCACAGCCTTCGGAGTCTGTAGGCTGCATGAAACAGCTGTGAAATGAAATTGTACTAGTCTTCGGATGATGTATGGTTATGGTCAGTGGAGATGTATAAAAAACATATGAGTGGGGACCTCGTAAGTAGGCCCGTTGCTCTCCCCAAAATGACCTCTTTACAATATTTTAAAAAGAGTTTTAATTAAACCTTCACATCCCTCGGATGAAGGACACAAGGTTAGAAACACTCAGTGTTCTGAGCTTCTCAGGATCCATAAAGAGATCCCCAAGAAGTATTTTCCTTTGACCAATCAGAGCCAGGCAGTGGCCTAAGTAGTGCAAAGAGGTCTCTAATTCAATGCTACAGGCATCACACAGACCATTGTCATGGAGTCCCATCACCATTTTATGGCAGTTGAGCAGATTGTGCCCAGTTAGGACTCCAACCAGTGTACTTAAAGTTTTCCTTGTCAAGGCGATGAGAGTTCTTCCAAACCTAACATTAGGATCGTTAATCAGTTCCCCTGTCTACAGTCTGTCAACTCCCTCCAGTGAATTGAGTGTTGATGTTTAATCCAGGCCTGTAGGGCAGTCCTACAGACTGTTGYTGAGGTACCTACAACAAGCTCTGGTCCTCTGAAGTGAGCCTGACTGCCAGTTTTTGCAAGGTGGTCAGCTCTTTTATTACCACTTGTTTGTATGAGGTTCTGTATGACTGCATGACCACGAACTACCCCATTACCATAGAGACTTCACAACTGAAAACGTTACAAGTAAATGGATTTTAAAACATTTAATAACTTGCTTTTTGCTCCAATATCAGTACTTGTAACTGCTTTTTATTTATCAGCTAAGTTGCCAAACATACATTTAAAAACTAATTCTTCTGTCCCTGATAAATTTCCAAACTACGCGGACTTAGAAAAAAAAACTCAGCCGTCTTCATTTTTCTGTTTAGTTTGTTGGCAGAGCAATGAATCCTGGGATATCCTCAGTTGGGAAATAAACTCAGATGTAGACTTCATTTTCAGGGTTTTGTGGGTCACATTCATCTGCGGCATGAGAAAGAGCCCATGAACTGGGACAGCCTTCGACGCGAGGCAGTGATGAAAGGGTCCGACAAATGTAGACTTTGAAGGACACGGTCCCTAAATTAAGTCACAACGTATGGCCTGTCTGTGGTGTTTAACCTTAAAGATCTAAATTCAAAACAGGCACAGCATATGAACACATTAGAAAGACATAGACACTATACAGGTATCCACATAGACTTGCATGGTTCATTAATTACATCGTGGCCAGACTGTTGGCAGCACACTGCAAAGAGGGCATCTGGACATCTGACGACAAGAGAAACCAACCGCCTTCAACGACATGAGTGACAGTGCACGTAYAGAACACAGAGACAAACAAAACATCAGTGTTCCTTCAACTATAGCCCACATAAGAACAACAAGACATTGTGCTCCATTTTCTTCTGTCACCAGTGAAGCACAGAGGTGCGAAACTGCACACGCTCTGTGCACACACAGTGTGTCGGCCATCGTAGGCTGCCTCAAACTCGAAGAGCACAATCTTCCTCACTGTGCTGAAGGCTCGTTCGTCAGTGCCAAATGAATATCTGTCTGCTTTCTCCGGCTCGTTACTGAGCGGTAACACTGACAATGGTTAAGACTAAGAGGCTACGTACAGTACAGCTGCGCACACACACACACACACACACACTTTACTTTGAAGTGCACATGGATGCAGCTCTTAAAATGGACCAGGGAGCGAGCTTGTCACATTCACACATTATCTGTGTGAAGCTAAGAGAACAAGAAGTGGCCTATATTCACATCAAGACAGGAAGCTCTGTGACATAAACAGTCTCCCTGGCATCCTTCTTTAAACAGGACCAAAGGAAGGAGAAGAAGAAAAAAAAACATTAAACACTGATCATTACAGTACCAGCACTGAGGCCTGCGGCTTTGAAACAACTGAGCCATTTAATGGTCTCTTCTGGGCATCTGAGAAGCTGTTCTGCTCCATGCAGCGAGGCAATCGTGTTACTGATCTGCCTCGGGAAACTGTGGGCCGTGACAGTCAAAAAAATCTGAATTCACAACAGCAAAAGAATCAAACTATGGTCGAGCATGTGATTATTCATGAGGGTGTATKAAAGTCTAGTCCATAAAATCTCCTCACTGAAAAAAAGGATATAACTCCCATCAATATGTTTCTGCGCTCTTGGTTTTACTAAGAAAGGCAATAATTTTGGATTCAGGGTTTATGTTTTCTCAAGAGCTGCAGCAATACCTGCAGCTGGTTGAGCATCAGCAGCTTTAGACTCATGGCACTGAAATCCTGACACCTTCATAAACAAGCTGAATGAAGCTTGAGGCGAGTCTGCCAAAACAAGCAGCGGACAGCTGCCAAAATACTCCATCGTTCACTGTTAGTCAGGCCAAAAGGCAATAGGTGCTGGTTTCTTTGAATGCTCAGTGTTCAACGCTGTGAAGCTTTGGATGAAAAACTTTGGTTTAGCACAGAAATGCAAGCCCTGCGCATAAACTGTGGGTTCAAATAAGATATTCACTGTTGATAGTGATAGGTTTGTTTTCTGTCCTGTATAAGTGATGTTTTTCATGACTTTTTTTGAAAGAAAATATAATAAACAAAACACAAAAATACATTTACTCTATGGGTAAGTTGTTAAAAGGTTGCAAACATTATAATTCCAACACACKCAAGATTGTATTTCTATCCTTATTAGGACCACCCCAGCACATACTTCACCATAAACTTACCCTAAACTCAAGTAACACCTTGGTCCTAAACTTAACCTTCAACCCATAAATGGAGTTTGACCATCATTTTTTCAGCTGCACTCTTCAGCAGAGGACACTGCAATGGACAAACTTACACTTGGCAATTATTCCACGACATATGACCTTTCCTGATGTAACCTGGGCTAGAACCTTCAGCTTCTGGATTACAAGACCAAAAATGCAAAATATTAACCCCCTTTTAAAAAAAAGAGCAAAATTAAAAAAGAGTAAATTTAAAAAATGAAGCACGTAAAGATATTTATTATAAATAAATGTTGAGGTAACAAATACTCATCTACAGTATATTATTGGACAGTTGCTGATAAAACTGCAGGTTACAGCATGCTGAGTCAGAAGGTTAAGTTTAACCAGTTATGGATAACTGGTTAAACAATCAGCCGACAGTGGTGAAGTAGTAAAAATAGTTTGGATGCTGAGGCAACATGATTGAGTGCGCTGGTTAATGTTCTGGTTAACAAGTAAATTTTAAGCTGTTTTGTGTGTGTGTGTGTGTGTGTGTGTGTGTGTGTGTGTGTGTGTGTGTGTGTGTGTGTGTCTGTGTGTGTGTGTG